AATGTTTTTAATAAAGATTTTAGGTCAGATTTGGAAGCCACTGAATTAAATGACCCAACTGTGTGCAAAGGAAAGCCAGATCCTACTTTACAACAGTTAGATGTTGCTTCCACACTCATGCGTCATTATTATTATATAGAGTATAACTCTTTGCTAATATAACTTCTGTACTTTTTCATAATATAAATACAATTTTATTTTAGGACTTTTAAATGCAGTTGAGAGTACTACACGCAGCTGTAATCCCCATTCTTACAATATTGAAAAAGGAATAATAATATAAAAGGGGCCTACAGAAAACTATTACCTTATCTGCTCCCAACTTGGATTAATGTTCACATTCATAGTGTTGTCTTCGGCCACAGCAGGCAGCTGTTTCAGCAAAAAGCTCTAGAAAATGGGCACTATAGCAGCACCAAAACAGACACGGTGTGAGACTAGCTGGTGAACAAATGGGAGCATTTAGCAGCTAAAGAGCTAGATATTTGGTGGTGGTAAAAATCACAGTTTAAAAAGAGTGAATATTGGATTTGCATTCATCAGGTGGCCACAAACAAAAGTCTCATGATAGTGTTCAGGAGTAACCACTGCACGTGTAAATACACTATTGTTTACCTTTTAGACTGAAAGATCAATCTTTGTTTCCCCAAAGTATAGCCTGAATAATCAGGTGATGCATGTTTAGTAACGGCTCTAAATACTTCTTCCATTACTGGCCATTAGAATGAAACGTGAGCCTTACGTATGTTGAATGAAAGTATTTCAAAGAAGGAGAAAGGTTAAGCTTGTTTGAATGTGTGTATTTGTGGGCGGTTTATCGAACAAGCATGAGGCAAAAAGAAAACAGGAATAAGAAGAAAATTGAGAGCGAAAATAGTAAAAAAAATGAAAGAAAGAAGGAGCCCAGTGGAGGAAACAAGATGTGCTGCTGTGTGGGGAGAGTGTGTGACAGGCCGGCAGCTTGTTGTGATAGAGGGTCCCGCTGCAGCAGGAGCTGAAACACTCAGGGTGAAACTATGTTTGACAGGAGCAAACTGTCTAAGAGGGACCAACACGACCTGCCATTACCACTACAGGGGGGCCACAACGCTGAGGAGACAAATTGTCGACACACACAGTGAGCGGACAGATGGAGGTACACTCACAAACACACACCAGGATGCATGTGTCAGGCATACTCACACACACACACACACACACACACACACACACACACACTTTCATGCATACACTGCAGAGACACATTGGCAAGTTTATATCAGTGCTGCTGTGCCCTCTGCACACAGAGAGGCTGCCAACTCACTCTGACCCATCTTTATTCAGTTATGATAATGCAGTGTCACGCAGGTACAGATTATGTTAAGGTGTCTGAGGGGAAAGCTTAAATAGGATGAGAGCTCTCAAACTGGGAGGGTTACTGTGGAGAATGTTCTGCCTGAGACTTCATCTGCTGCGCTTTCAAGATTCTGAAAGGGACAAAATCATATTATCTGCACTGGTATTTATCAATCTAGATCATGTTGTTGTGATTTGCCGAGTGCTAGAGATTTGTTGTGTGGCAGAAGGCTACCTGTAGCTATGAGCACGCTGGATTAGTAACCTTGCAGTGTGTTCAACTGCAACAGAAATGTAAGAGCTTAAAGGGGCCCTATTAAGCCCTTTTTTCAGGTTTAGGTCCACAGTATGTGGTAGAGAAACTCAATCTGAAGAGAATTTGGGGATTTGAGCCTTTTCAGACCATTAACATGCACTAAAACCTATATACCAATTACAGGAAAGGAAAAAAAGGCATAAGAGGGCCCCTTTAATGTGTTTTGAATCTAGCAAAATGCATCATTAAAGTACAAAACAAATTGACATTACAATAATCTAAAGTTGCCCCTATTTTGAAGACCATCTTTATTCCTAAATGAATGTGTATTTAAACATATAATACAGAAAACCTGGGAGCATGTTATATACAAAAATGAAAAAGCAACACAAAAAAGGGAGTGAAAAAGCACTGCTTTCACCAATGACTACATTTCAAGAAAAAGCAGCCGTTTTTGAGTGTTGGTTTAAACAAGACTAATGCTAGTGACTGCACACCATCAATCACACACCACTCTCCCATAAATATATACAAATAGAGTCTCCTTAATTACATATAGCAATATCTGTCGTTGTGTCTTGTGTGTATGCATTTCTACAAACAGATGTACTGCCTATGCATCAGGGAGATCTGTTTAGTAGTTATCACAAGAAATGTTTAATCGAATTTATACAAATAAATACTTTTTATATGTTAGTAAGTTGGTTCGTGGTAAGCCTATTCTTTTAGATAATCTCTCCTTAAGTGGGTGTAATTATTTCATTATGTCCCCTTCAAGCACTGAGAGACATTTGTATCTGCTTGAGGGGTTAAACTGTGAAGAGCTCATCGCTTCACACAAGAGCACTTTAGACAGACCATTCATGACACATTTCAGGTGACAGATGAATGCAACGTGGCTGACACTTAGCGCCTTTTGATTCTCTGTGAACAAATGGTGCAAATATATGTCTTACATCCTTTGTTTAAACTGTGGGAGACTTTGGCAAGTTGCAAGGCGCCGATAATAAGTGTTTCTCAAAGGAAGCACGCTGACAAGTTGTAAAGGTTTCTGAAGTACTGCAAATTCCTGTCTGACTGTCAGATAAACAATACCCAAAACTGAGGCGCAGAGAGGTTAAAGCATGTTTTTCATTATATTATGTTATTTTATAGTGTGAGTGTGTGCATATGCGAGGAGTATTATGTGAATGAGAAATGATGTCGCTCGGGGTTGAGTGCTGTATAATAAATGTGCATTTTATACATGCGTGTGCAAGAATGTATTTACCCCTGCATACCTATGTGTGTGTGAATGTCCCCATCTGTGAATTGATTACATCTGTGTGTTTGTATTCTGTGCTGCTGCATCACACACACACACACACACACACACACACACACACACACACACACACACACACACACACACACACACACACACACACACACACACACACACACACACACACACACACACACACACACACACACACACACACACACACACACACACACACACACACACACACAATGGCAGAGTCAGTGAAGGCAGCAGCCAGGAGGAGAGAGAAGCAGGAGAGAAGAGTCGTGGAGGAGGAAGAGGAGGAGGAGGGGGGGGGGGTGAGGTTGATGTGACATGATTTACAATGAGATCATTAACCTTGAGAAACAGAATGGCCTTTGCGACATAAACACTATCTCTCAGACGGACACCTTGCAAGAACAATACCTTTTGTACACGATTCACTTGTGATTGCGCAGAAAAACACATGCAGGGCAGCAGACATGCGTAAAACCCAGCATGTACACACACCGAGCGTGTACACACACACACTTGTAATGTTATCCATAAAGTAACAAGTAATTAGCTCTGTCCTAAATACTACAGTACTCACTAAATCCAAGCAGTTTGAGTCTGTTCACAGTGGAAGTCGGAAAAAAAGTATATTCAAGAAAAGTAAGGCATACTAAAACCGGAGTATTTGTTGTATGCTGTTATCAGACAGTATATTCCCACTATGAAGGGCACTAAGCAGATGTAGGATATGAGCACAGGTGTGGGGAAAAAAGTAAGCAATTGCAAGACATTTGAATTGGCAATGACCTTCCAAAGTTGCTAATTGTGTAATTGCCTGTTGGTGAAATATACTAATACAAATAACTACTCTAACTGAAAAAACAGTATTGTGAGACAATTATTAGTATAAACTAGGATTCCCATGGTAACAGATGGCAAGCGATCACATCAAGATGGTTGTATGACCTAAGAATTTATTGTGTAAAGATGAAAATATTCTATTGACACTTCAAGTTCAGTGCCTGTTCAAAACAAACCTGTTTGACCTGAGGGGTTGTAAATCAAATCAAATCAAGTTTTATTTATATAGCACATTTTTAAACGATTTTTGGTCGAGCCAAAGTGCTGTACATATAATAAAAATACCCTACAGTAAAGACACTTTACAGCAAATACAACAGCACAGTTTGTGCAGAATATCAGTATGAGAAAACGACACCCTCTGTCCTTAGACCCTCACATCATACAAGCCTTAAAAGTAATGAAAAATGATGCAACCAAACAATTGTTTCACTTCCTGTGTAGACTACTGCTACTTTATATTACTAACTAATAGTTTTACTTCAGAAAAAACTAAAGATTTGTGTACTTTTTTAACCACTGCCAATAAAAACTATCCCCCCCTGATAAACACAACCAAAACTAATGTTCAAAGCAAAAACACACACACATTGATTTCCAAAATGGCTTATTTTTTTGTTATGACCCAACCACCAGTTAAGAAGCAGGACATGGATATTGTCAATGGAGGATTTTAGCTGGCTGTAACATAATTAGTGTTATAAGTGAATATGCCCCATCAGGTCATACACAGGGGAAATGCAGTGCTACTTACGAGAAAAAACCACAATGCAGTCATTAAGCGTATTATTAAATGCCATGTCGTATATAAGAGCTTTCAGTAAAAGCTGTCTCCTACTGTTAATTACGACAAGGATGTTGGAGTAAACGCCATTTAGTCAGAAACTCGTAATTGTGATAACTCTCTTGCTGCACAGCAATTAGACACAGCAGTGCTTTCAGCCAAGTGCTAAGTAACATCAGCGTGCTACTGCAAAATGCTCACAATGAATACTCTGGCATGCCAATGTTGCTAGCTAATTAGCACCAAACTAAAAGGTAATGTAGGAATGTAATTAGCTTTGCGAGGATTTTGTACGAATTACAATACCTGATGATGGTACTAGATGAAAAGTCAAAGGACAACCACAGATATAAGAATTCATCCTGAGTTACATGAATGTTTGTACGACACTAAGTGTTTTTGTGTATCAACACGTTAACAGTGAGGAGAAAAGGATCACACAGTATGGTGTATAGCAGGTTAGTTCATTAGCACTGACTCCGAGGTATCACACAATCCTTTTTTATTTTTCCACAATCTTAAATCCACTCTATTATAAATCTTTAGTATGTAAACGATATCTCAATAAAACATTTGTCAACACTCTTTTACAGGTTGAGTCGCGAGGGGAAAGCTTCCCTCGGACAAATCCAGCAGTAAACTTCTACAATCACACACTCACTACATACAGATGAAAGAAACACAACATTCAATAACTGGCACAAAGGCTCATGGGATTCAGAACAACAGAAAGCCCTTTCAAAAGTGCATCACACAGCCGTCATGTTGCAATGCCTTGAAACAGAAACTCCCAATCAAGAACAATAAAAGAGACAAATATGTACCCCACATATATTTGGCAATATATCACTCTTCTTATATGATAGGTTCACAATTTAAATTACAAAATGGTTTTAAAATAGGGGAAGACATTTGTGAATGTGTAAATTCTGTGTTGAAGAGCAAAGCAATGTTTCAGTATATTCAAGTCAGTTTAATCAAATGACCAGAGTGAAGACACAGTTGAAAGATAAAGTTAAAATCTCATCATTAAAGCCTTCAAATAAACGTCCATTAAGAGAAGTATAAAAGCGATTTTTGGACTTGCATTATTTGAAGGCTGCATGCTGAGATTCTGTTTGACACACTGCAAAACTTTATTAACATCACACAGCAACAGCAAACAACTATATTGAATAACAAACATCTCTTTCATCTTGAAAAGCACTCTATAAATAAATAGTTTTTTTTTTAAATATGTTCGTTTTCATCTAAAGGCTTTATGTATTTCATTAGAAAATGTATTTGTAGGTCAAATCTTTACTAAGTTTAACGCAAAATCCTCACAGTTTGTCAAAGCTTCAGTGATAAGAAGTAAAAACGTAACATTTAAATACTTGTTTAAATATTTCCATCCCTTTTTTTCACCCTTGCAGGCTTAAATCTGGGAACTACGGGCACAGTGTTTGCATGCATTGAACTCTTAAACTGCAATAATCGAAATATTGCACTGAATTAAAGCCCGTTTTCTAGAGACAGTTAAAACCCAATCATTTGGCTGTATTGCTGCCTTTGCAAAAGCCCTGCTTCTTTCTCTTCATGATCGCAACACAATGTATCCTTTTCATTTCTCACAGCTAAAAAAGGCAACAGTTATGAAGATGTTTTACTGGATTAAAGGAGCATTAACTGAGAAACAGATGACAGGACATGCGTTACCAACAGCTTCTCCACCAATGATACAGTAGCATGATATCAACACACCAATTCAAAGATTTAGTTACATGAAACACACACAGCACTAACGGTTTTCTTGAAGTAAAACATATTCAGTAAAGGATTCAAGTCAAATTAGAGTTTTCAGTCATGTATCATTCAGTCATATTTTAAACGGCCAACGATATAACCATTCGTAATGTGAAAGTCCTCCCTTTGATATCTCTGGGTGTATTTGGCCATTGTGAAAAGCAGGATATGATTCATGGCAATAAGTATCAATATAATAGAAGCAAAAATGAAATATTTGATCAATGTATGTCCTGGGAAATGTTTTAAATAATGATGATAATTATGTGGAAGGGGATTTTAACCCTATCACCCACTCTTTTGTCACTGTGCAGACGACACATTAACCCCCTTTCAAAAGTCTTACTTACGAGGCAAATTAAAAGGAACAAACCGTGATTTATCAAACAATTTCCCCTTATGCTAAAAAGAAAACGAGCTTTACTTCTGCATGACACGGTACAAATAGTTGCCTACAAGAGCTACATGTGTAGGTGCTGAGAACAAGTCCTTCACATTGAAAAATGTAACAGTCCAGTGATCAAGGAGTGAAGTTTGATACCCTTAATGCCACATTTAAACTACAACGTCCGGCTTTTATAATAGGTAGTGCATGCTTACATTCAATAGTGTAACATTGTCTTACTTCATTGTTCAGCCTTTTATAATCAGAATTCATCTGATGATTATCACCTCATGATGAAGTCGCTAGCTCAGAGGCATTTTTTTTTTAATTGTGTAACCTTTCATTGAAGTTGTTAAACGTCAGTAGACTCCAACCTGCCGCTCCTCCTTCCCGTCACGTTCAGAGGAGGTCGGTTCCATCGTAGACCACAGGCTTGTCCAGACTCAGCTGATACTGGACTTTCTTTGAGATGAACCTTGAGTTAAAGAAGAAAAGACAGATGAGCTTCTTTTAAGTTGTATGTCAAATAATTAGTCTGAACTTTTAACAAACACAGCGCCCTTACATGAAACAAAAGAGAAGCTGAATGACAACACAAAGCGACTGACCTTGAGAAAGAGTTGTCAAAGATGAGTGTGTATTCTCCAGCGTTCCTGACCTTCAGCTCCCCCTGGATGGTCTCTTTGTGGGAGTTACAGCGCGTCAGAGCGATCAAGACCTGTGGAGAGCAAAGGATAGAAATCTTGTTTAACTAAAGCAGAGAAATATATGTCTGCTTTTATAGGTAAAGATCTGTAAGGGCGGGTGAATGAAAAGCATGAATCCAGTGCAGAATCTGCTCATCAAATGTGTGTGTGTTGTGTGTCCGGTAGGGACTGCTAGGCTTTAGTCTGGACTGCTCTCTCCTGGCCAATCTTTATTTTTGCTGCAGACTTAAAACTGCATGTTCTCCTCGCTTGGGGGCTGTGCTGCTGCTCAAGTTAAATCAACACAGTGGAAATAATACAAATAAGACACTTAACATTTGCCTAAAAATAAACTAAATGTTGCACAGCTACAGGTCACAGAATAGTGTTTTGTTGAGGTGGAACGCTAATATTACACAGATTATCAGAGGTCCCATACATTCACACTTTTAATATGATGGATGGTCAATAGATATTAAAGCAATGGACTTGAATACTTTCAACTCTCCTGCAAATACTGCCTTTCACAGTTGTTAGGTTGACTTTAGTGAATGTATTCTTACTTTGTTAAGGCTTTAAGAGGAGGAAGAGTGTATGAATGTTCTTTAAATTGATAAAGTGTCTCACCTTGGCCTGTTCGAGTGGAGTCTCGGTGCTCTCCCTGTAGACCACGCTGAAGGCGATGCTTTTGGGTTCGGAGGTGAACGTCCAGCAGACCGTCGGCCCGGGCCCGCTCATGGTAATGGGGATGGTGCTGTAGCAGCTGGACTTTATGAAGAGCTCTCTGGAGCTGTCCCCAAACGCTGAGATATCATCCACCGTGAAGGGGATAGAGAGCCTGCAGCGGAGCGAATAGAACGGGATCAAGGAAAGTTCAGAATATTGTTCCTAGGTAAATAATGGGGAAGAACTAGAGCTTTGTCTTTTTATTTCCATGTATTCTTTTCCTTCCTTTTCAAAACATGGTGCCTACATTACCCACAACCTACTTCTTTCCAGCTCCACAGAGAGAGATTATTCTCTTTTCAGCCCAACTGATATTAATGTATCAGTTTTTTGCAGACTCCTGAGCCACTAAAAGCCTTCTATGTCTTTGTTTGCATGCAATATTAACCCCAGAGACTTATAAATAGACTAACAAACTTAAAGTTCACATTCTTCTTTTGGGATAGACTCAGCCCTTTGCTCAAGAACACTTTACAGAGACAGATACCTGCTGACATGAGGCAGTGAAGCAATACTCCTTAAAAAAAAAAAAAAATTATAATAGAGGTGAAACTGAGGTCTCATAACAAGTACAGAGTAACATTTAGGGAAGCTGTTCAAGCCACACATGGGTTAGTTTCACTTCCTATGTTGGGATGTAGTGCAACGTTTTTAAAGAGGAATTCATGAGAAACTTCCTCTAAAAGTCTGAAGTGCGACTCAGAATGTTTCCCAGTGTAACTTTCGCTGCACGTGAAACTCACGTGAGGTCTCCAGACTTCAGCAGGCAGATCTCTGCGTCTTGTACCGAAGTGTTGAGGTCATCATTATCTTCTGATGTGAGGTCTCCTGCACTGGCACTGCTGTTTCTGAAAACAGTGTAGGGTATTTAACATTAATATATATACGTTGTTATCAATTTGCTTAGAACTATTTTCACTTTTCACTTGTGTGTCCAAAGATCTAACCAAATACACAATCATTGAAAGTGTTACAAGGTTAGAAAAAAAGTGAATAAGGAACATCTACTGTACAGTGTGGCCCATCTGTGGGAAATGGCTTACAGTACACATACATACATATATGTACATAACATACACACACAGCTAAAATAAACACATAAAGAACGGCTGTACAGTAAATGTCAATCTATCTAATCTATGTCACTTTTAAAAAGGCAATGTACGTGGAAAACTGTTAAAACTGAATCTAAAATTCAACTGACTTATTAAATCAATTCATTTTCATTTATTTTTCATGAAAGCTCCTGAGTTTATTTCCACAGCTGCAAACATTTCTTGCTTTCTGACTCTGACGACACGAACACACTGAACTGATTGTTATGAAGATGGCATGTCAAGAGAAAATCGTTTTTTGTCAGGTTGGTATTCATATTTTATATCGTGGTTTACTTCAACAGTCTCAATCTTTCCTGAGTGAGTGAATGAAGGTGAAATACTTACAGTTGTGCTGCCCCCTGCTGTCCGTGTTCAGGAGAGCAGGCGGTGGCAAAAGAGAGAGAGTCACTGTCATAGACCCCGCTCACCTCCTCCTCTGTGATGATGTCGAAAATACCATCATCCACCTTTTCACCTTCACTTGCTCCTAGAAAACAAACATCAGCTATGTTCATTATTACATTTGTACCTTTCTCTGTTTGCTTTTACCCACCATATCTAAAGGCTGAAAAGAACCTCAGCATTTGACACAATATATTCAAAGTCAACTTTATTGTCAATCTTCCAGTTTGTGTGTACAGACAGCGAGATCGAAATACTGTTTCCCACAATCCTGAATATAAAAGCAAATGTATATAAAATATAAAAATATGTGTGCAAATATGTATATATATACACAGTATGTATATATAAGACAAATGTTTACATGTGCACACATTAAGACCTAAATAAAAACACAACAATCAATATATACAAAATAACAGTCACTTCAATATTTTGAGAATGTACATTATGCAGATTATCCATCGAATGTGCAAAAAGAGATATTACCGCAAGATTGTCCATAGCAGCGTAAAAAGTGTCTGGTGCTGGATATATTATAATATATTGGTGTGTGTGTGTGTGTGTGTTTTGTTACCTGAAGCACCCGTCACAGCTTTCCCAGCCTGCAGCAGGCGATGGAAAGGAGTCCCCGGCGTGCTGTGAGTCACTTCCTCCTGAGGGTGGCGCTCCACCACCGCGGTGTGATTGTTGTAGCAGTCGATGCAGCAGCGCTCCCTGTGGCCGCCCTGCTGCGTGCTCACTGTGTTGCTGCAGCAGTAGTAGCAGAAGGGACGCCCACACAGTCTGAGAATAGAGACACCATTACTTATTAGTTTTTGGTTGCGGGTTATTCAACTGGAATTTAGGATTTAGTATGCAAGTAAAGCTCTTTGGTGCATGTATCAAATCAATAATTAGATTTCTTTTTACATTTTGAAGATATCAAATACACAAGTCAGACATTTGATATCTTTGTCAAGAAATAGGCTCTGATAAAGTGCATTAGGATGCTTTAAAAAAAAAAAAAACATTTCTAAGATGTTGCAGAAGGTTACTTTTGAGTTAAGACGTTGCAACAGCAAACGCATAGTTTCGCATTAGCTAAGACAATAAGAGTTCAATGAAAAGAGGCTTAAACTGATGTATTGTGATGCAGGATTTGTATCTTGTTTTAAAAATAATACTCTCATAGTTACAGCATGAAAGTTTAAGAGCAAATATCATTAAATTATCCAGTGATGCATTAAGTCACAGATAGCAACTGTTTAACTCAGATTCTCTCTTCAACATTGTGTAAATCTAAAAAACTGTTAAAACCTGGTTCATTTGAGTTCAAATCATGACATTTTGTTAACAGCTTACATGTGTAATTCGTGTACTTTCTTCACTCAAACACATTGACATTACATGGAGCGAGACTGACTTTTATAAAGACACCATGCATTCTCAATATGAATATGAAGCAATAAACAACATTATTATTCATTTTTAATGCATCCCATTCGATCTGCTGTGGACGTTATTTGACTTAACTATTAAATAACACTTGGTTAATCTAAATAAGAAGTGAAATTCAGGACGTAAATGTCACTGGACTTCAGTTCCTGTTACATTTGACTACAAAACCAATCACAAAGAAAATTAATTTCAGTGGCATCAACGCACTGACTGAATGTATTTACTTTTGGAAAATGTGTCAAATATTTTAAACCATCGACAGCTTTTAGGTATTGTGTATCTATGCTGTTGTTAAATATGTTGTGTATTAATTGTGCTTAATGTTTTTAGAACTACAATAGTGTTTCAGCAAATGTGCTTAACAATCGAGAAAACATTTCTTTACACGACTGGTTTAAAAGGAGCAAGATTGGCATTCGTTTAGTTACCTGGTGATGTACTGTATATTATAAATAGTATAATTGTTTTTCATACAGAGGCCCATCTGACCTGCAGTTGTGCTTGCGGAGCCACCAGCTGAACTGGGTGTGACAGCCCAGGCAGAAGTTGACGTCTCTCTCCGTCTCCTCGTCCCGCATTTTTTGCTCGAACTCCAGGGCATCCGACTTCTGCCACAGAACATCTTTCTCCCTGCAGAGAGCACCATCAAGCATATTTTTAATTGCAGTAAAAATCACACGTTATAATGCAGAAAACACAATTAAAAAACACATACCAAAAGGGCCTTAGGAAATTACCAAGGCATAATCACTCAACACTGCATTGATATCACTTTAACCCTAGTAACAAAGACAACATGGAATGGAAAGATGAAAGGTAGATCAGATGAAATATGTATGTTTTTACCTGATCAGTTCAACAAGCCTTTCTTCCAAGTTGATTTTCGTGCGGTAAAGATCATCGAGTTCAGCTGCCGTCTTCAGATCAAAGCTCTGTTTGTCCTGTGTGGCTCTCCGTAGATTTTCACTCATCTCCTGACAAGTCCGCTGAGCCGCTGCAAGACTTTCCTGAGAACTGCATACAAAAAGACACAGTCTGATTAAATATACATAAGAAAATACACAGGGATACTCAGGTGACTAATTGTGTCCATCCAGTTGTTATCTTTAGACTTGTGATTTAAAAACAGGACAGAAAAAGTACACAAAAGGGCACGCTATATAAAAAATAAACATTCTGATTTAAACACACAAGATTAAAAAACATTTTTCACAGAGCTTTAATTCAATCCAGAATGTGTGTTTATGAATACAGTATCTCACCTTGATAAATTCTCTTTCAGATGGATTATCTCGTCTTCTTTCGGCCGGATGAGATTTACAGAATCGGCCATCTGGATGTTTTTCTCCTCAATCTGTTGGCAATATCTCTGATTCTCAGCCTGCAATCAGTACAGCAAAGCACAGCATTATTTCTGGTTCTTTGTGAATTATGCTTGTGACCATAATGTTATGATTACTGCAATTTCAGATATACACAACAGTAATCTCATGTATCAATCCTAGACACACAAATGATATTGCATGTTAAATAACAGTTTTATTTCCTCGCACTTTCACCGACATGATTTAAAACATCCGTGGACTGTTTTAGTGATTGGACAGGGGCCAGAATCAGTACATCATCTCACCTCGAGCTGTTTGAATTTGTTCTCCAAGTCGACCACTTTCTCTTGCTCGGTCGTCAGCTGTGATTTCACTTCCTGTGTCTCTTTATTCACAGTCTGCACGAGAAACCACAAATTCATCAACTGATGTTTGAAAAAACAAAACAACTTTTAGAAAAGACTTGCTGATACAACCCAACATAAAAGAGTTAAGCAGTATATTTACATTCACATTTGTAACCAGAGTACTTTTCTATTTGTATCTGTAGAACTTGAAGGTAGTGCAGATAATTCTCTAATTCAGATAGTGAAAGGTTTCTTATCAGAATCAGAATCAAGTTTATTGCCAGGTACGTTTACAGATTTGCTTTGGTATCTGGTGGTGCGAACATAAACAATCCAAAAAAAGTAGGTAAAAAAACTAATATATAAGGATAATAAAAAGTATTTCTAAGAAACAATTTAGCATTAAAAAAGGATGTAGGATACACCAAATGTAAATGTAACTATACAAATAACCTTAAAATGGTGTAACTTTTTTGTATTATAATTAGTTTTATGCATGCTTCTTAGGTAACATTAAGCTGTCTGTGGCTCTTTTCTGCTGTAACAATGTACATTTCCCCTCTGTGGGACTAATAAAGGTATTCTGATTCTGATTCTGATTCTGAAAAGCTAAAAAACAGAATCACTTAGGACAATGAGTATATATGACAAACTACAGTGTATTATATTTTAAACTGGAGGGCTGTGCAGACGTGTGCAAAAATGTGCAAAAAGCAGTCAGAGAGTTTAGCATGAACATGGCTCACAGTATTAAAAAGGCAAAAAAGAACAAGATATTGTTCACCTGATGTGCATTAATGTAATGCATATTTTTTTTGGGGTGGATCAAGCCTACATGAAGTGTAGGAAACAGCTTAGAAGAGAGAGCACATTGTAGCTAGTTAACTCAATTACATGCACAGTTTACAAATGGAAGCATGCTACGTTTCTGTATCTGAGCTCTGTGTGTCTGACCTGGACCCGGCCGTCGTGGCTCATGGTCTGGCTGCTGAGCTGGAAGCGGAGCGCCTGTATCTCCTCCTGGCTGGTCGCCTGCACAGCCTCGGCCTCCTGCTGGGCCTTGCTCAGCTCCACCTGCATCTCCTGCTTGATTGCGGACGAACCCTTCTGGTTGTGGAGCTGATCCAGGAGGCGCTGGTTCTCCTGACTCAGCTGCTCCATGCAGGTATTCAGCCTCTCCGCCTCCTGAGACGCCTCCTCGTCCAGCTCCTGCAGCTTCGTTGACAGGCCCTCCCAGCGCAGACGAGCCTCCTCGTTCTCAGCAGTTAGCATGCACACCTGAATGCCGAGTTCAGCTGTTTCTGTGTTGGCTCTGTGGAGCGCCTCCTTGGATTCGCTGTTTTCCAGACACAGGGCTTCATACCGCAGCTTCAGTTTATTGAGCTCCTCTCTGGAGGCCGTCACCTCGGCAGCCAGGCCGGCTCGAGCCCGAGCTTCACCGTCCCGCTCCCGAACAAGAGCCTCCTCTCGTTCCCGTGATCGGAGAATCTCATCCACATGCCGGCGGTTGAGCTCCTCTACCTGGGCTTTCAGTTGTTCTGCTAAGATGCGGAGGTCCTCTCTGGAGGACTCGGTCACCTCCTGCAGAGCCTGCACCTTCATCCTCTCGTCGGCTCCTGCCAGATGCTGAGCCCTGAGCTCCACCACCTCGTCCTGGAGCCGCTGCACCTCCCTCAGGTTGAGCTCCAGTTGAGCCTCGGCCATAACCAGCCTGTACGGGGAATCTTTGGTTTCCATTGAGGATTTCTGAGGCCTTTCGTGAAGCATTTTCTCATTGCTCTCTGCGGCTCCTTTTTCATGGTGCAGCTCAACACTCCTGTTCTCCAGCTCCTCGGCTCTCGCTTGCTGACGCCCACATTCAACAGTCTGTTCTCTCAGTTTAGCCTCAGCGTCCTTCACTTTTTCAAGTAACTCTGCTTGGCTTCTTTGGGACACATTGAGGTTTTTCTCCAACTTTGAAGCTTTGGCAGTGAGTGCGTCCAGTTCCTGTTGAGTTGTCGCTAACTGTTTCTTTAATGAGGACTGGAGCTCAAGACGCTCTTGTTTCTCATGCTCGAGATTCTTTATTTGCGCATCAGATGTGTCCTTCTGGACGAGCACCTTCTGGGCAATCTCCTCCCAATGCAGGTTTTCATCTAGAAGCTTCTTCTCCCGATCTTCCACACACAAATTTGCAGCCTCAACTCGGGATTTTAAGTGCTTTTCAGAAGCCCTCAAACAAGCAAGCTGGTCTAACAAGGCTACCCTGCTCTCAGTCAGCTCTGTGATGCTTCCCTCACTCTTTTTAACCGTTTGGAGAACCTTATTGTTTATTTCCATGAGATTGTGGCATTGGGTTTTGTACTCCTGAAGTTTCTCAGAGGAAACGGTTTCATTATTAGCAAGTCTAGAGCTCAGAGTCTCTTTCTCAACATTCAGCTTCTCCAACTGCTCCTCTAAATGTTTGGTTCTCTCCGAAGTAGCAGCGAGCTCTTTTTCTCTGTTCTTCAGAGTTTTCCTAACATCCCGGAGTTTGGTCTCTAGATCCTCATTCTGGCTGTAACTCATGCTACATCTCTGCTCTACCTCCTCCCTCTCCTTATTCAGTCTTCTCCTTAGGTCATCCGCCTTCCTTTCTCTGCACTCTAGTGACGCTTGTAGGTCCTGAAGCTGTGCTCTTAAGTTCCCCGTCTCCTTCTCTTTCAAGCTCAGCGCCCCTTGAATTCGACCGACTGCACTCTGGAGCTCCTCTAACCGTGTAAGCGCATCCTCGCGTTCGCAATGAGCTCCGGTTCTTACTTCAGCCAGCTTCTCCTCACTGATCCTCATCTCTTCTTCCCTGAGTTTCAGATCCTGGGACAGACGCTCAGAGTGCCTTGCTCTGTCCTCCGCCTCTCTCTTTGCCTCCAACCTCTCCTCCTCAGCTGTCTTGACTTTATCCAGGAGTTCCTGGATTTTCCAGGCCGAGTCGCAGTAGCTAGCTGTTTGTTGTCCCTTTTCCTTAAGTGATTCTTCCAACTTGGAGAGAAGCTCCATATTTTTGTTCTCAGACACTGTGAGTCTATTTTGAAGGTCACCGTTTATTGCTTCCCTACAGATTTGAAGGTGATTTGCCCCGTCCTGATTATCTGTATTTTGGTTACTTTGGGCTTCTGTAGATACAGAGGGGCCAGCAGTCTTCTGGGTGGCCAAAAGCTGGCCTTTAAGGTCTTTCACCACACCTTTCAACTCATCAGCTTGTTTTCCTAACTCCTGAACCCGGACCAGCAGCTCCTGCTGTCTGAGCTCGGATTGGTCGAGCTCAATGCGCAGGTTATCTGCTATGCTGCATGAAGAGGGCTCCACCAGTTCATCGAGCCCACCCAGGAGACTGGGATTCAGGTCTTGTATTGGAAGATACTCCTGCACCTGGTCAGTGGATGAAAAAACGTTTTAACTTCACAAGTCACATTCACACATTCGTTTTGCAGGATTGTCTATGTAGAGTATCTGATTCAGTTTCTGAGTACCTGTGAGTAGCTGCTAACGAGACTGTTGATGCTGGAGCAGCGACTGGGAGGCCTCCACAGGAAAGCTGATGAGGCATTGCCTAATGTTCGCCTACAACATAATGACCAAATATTGAGCTCATTAACACCTCTTAAACTGTAAGACATGACAACTGATTGAAAGAGAAAGCAACCAAAACCTTGTTCAGAAGAAGAACTTGACAGAAATGGAGAAAGCGTGAAATAGTGGCACTTTCTTTTACAACAAGCTTTAACTGTTTTATTGAAAACATTATTCAAATGTAATAGGTGCACAACATACTCTAAACTCTCTATCTGTACTGTACAAATTACGACAGGCCTCGAAAAAGAACTTCATTCACAAATGTAATTCTCTTTTTGACATTTGTTGATTCAGGTAATATATAATATATATAGTTTATGTTGTTGTAAGTGTTGCTACTCTGCATAATATTTGAAAAAATCCCAATAATGTGTTGAACAACAACAACACAACTAAAGCTTTTTTCAAAAAAGTGTGTCCACTTCCTGTAGAGTAGAGTGACTGCAAATTGATGACAAGGAAGTGAAAAGTCTTGGCAAAGGTGCTGACGTGAGGAACAGCGATCAGCACTTACACATTGTCGGCACCCACTGACTCTCACACACACACATTTACACACACATTTACACACACTCAGGCAAAAAAGAAAAAGAGCTGTGAATGTGCAGAGTGATCAGATAATTAAGTGTTACCTCAAGTTGTGAAATAAGCAATATGGCTTCATCACAATTTTACATTAGCTGCAATAACCTGGGGTGTTATTTCAAATAACCTAAGGTCTGTCTCTGATCAATTTACAAATCATTTCCAACACCAACACGGAATAATTAATAATGATTTAATTTCTTTATGAAGGAGCCAAATATAAATGTTTGTTTTTCTTCAAAAAGACGAAACTGGGGGTTGTAAACGTTTACATAATTGTAATAGAAGTATTGGTTACCTTGCAAATGATGGCCAATCTGCATCAAGGTCGTAACCTCTGGCAGCGACGTCAAACTGGATCTGGTTGAGCTCATAAAGATGGTTAATGATGTCAGCAGTGAGGTGGGACTTGAGGAAGGGACTCCGCGCATAATACCAGTCACTGCATGGGAAAAATACAAACAAAAAAATATAAATCTCAACTCTAACAACAAGACCAAAACAAATTTGAAAAGAAAGTGTAATAAGTCCATATGAATCTTGTTCTCTCCGTCACTGAGCTGAAAAGATGTATTACTTTTTCTGATGTTTTAATTGTTCATTATAAACTGTATAAACATTTTGTTGAAGTGCATTCAGACAAATATAATCACAAATTGAGTTATAAAGATGAAAAGGTTGCAATAAATAGTTAAATAAATAGATTGGTGAATTTTCTGAAAATGTGCTCCGCTTCCTTTCAGAGAGTCAGATAAGATGATTCATATCACAAGTTTCCTGTCTTTAAGATAAGATAAGATCTAGCATCACATATTCTTCTTGTTCTAGATTCTTCTTCATTTACCATAAACAGACATGAGATTAGGAGGGACCTACTCATTTCACTTTTGACAAGAAATAGAATAATATTCCTCTTATTACCAAAAACGCACACAAAGACTGTAAGAGGTTGTTTCAGGTTTCTGCACAAAGTGTGTGATTGGTTTCAAATCAAATCAAATCAAGTTTTATTTATATAGCACATTTATAAACGATTTTTGGTCGAGCCAAAGTGCTGTGCAATTAATAAAAATACCCTACAGTAAAGACATTTTACAGCTAATACAACAGCACAGGTTTGCCTGAACAGCATGCGATACATGGCCTGACTTTCATGCAATCTGCTATTGAAAACAGATTGACAGTGTCATTTATGTGATCGAATGTCTTATGTCAAATAGAAATATAAAGCATACTACTTTTATGAGATAAAGTAAAATATAATTGACATTTGTTTTGCTAAAAGGCTGAGGAAGTGAGACAGAAGAACTGTAAGTGTCTACGGTTAGGGTGTGGGTGTTGTGTTGCCTCAGAAAACAGAAATAAAACATAAATCAGGAAGGGAGATTTACTCGAAAAAAAGGACTACATCCCACGTAAAGTACGGTGCCTCAATTATTGAAAACATTACATATTAACACATGTATGAATGTGTAAGTATCTGTTTCTGACCTTGTGACCTTCTGGTTTATGAGACACTGCTGCAGTGTGTCAGCGAGGCGTTGGTGGACGAGTGAGTAGCGTATGAAGGCCCTTCCTTTCCCCAGGGATGTCTTCAACTGAGGACACAAATCAACACTTAAGCACGATTTTCTTACTCAGATTTGTACACACAAAGACGGACATTACCTCACTGCAATGTAAGGTCATGTTTGAAGAGCATGTGTTATTTCAAAGTCTAGTCAGTATCAAGAAGCTCAAACTATTTCACTAGTGGCTCCTACTACCTGAAACATATATTTGAATGTGACATTAAAGACAATTAACTTGAAATGAATGATTATTTAAAAAAAAAAACTTTAACTACTGAGTCTATAAAACATCAGAAAAGATCAAAAACTGTTTTCCCAGAGGCCAAGATGACCTCTTTAAATGTCTTGTTTTTTCCCAAACAATGAGTTCAAAACCCAAAATAATGTGTCTTACATTGATATTAAAAATAATGTATGTTGCCTGAAAAAGAACCCAAAAGCAATCATAACAGTTGTTGGTTTGTTTTCTGTTGACTGTCTAACTAATACATCAATTGATTTCAGTTAAAGCCGAATGCAAATCTGTATTTTGGTCAAATGTATCGTAGGACAGAGCAGTTAGGGATGTATACGTTTAAATGTTACTGCATGGACATTACATGCACGGTATCTGTCAGTACATCCAGACTCTCTCTCCAATACATTAGCAGATGGAGGGATTTAAGTAAGACAACAGACCCACAGATCTAACAGAAGGACACCAGCTGGAGACTGATTTACGTCACAGACTGACCGACATGGAAAAAGAAGAAAAGTCAAAGTAAAACTTAAAAAGAACGAAAGGTTGTCAGCTGGTATTGACTAAACTATGTCACTTTTGAAGAAAAAATACTGACAGTTGTTAATCCCTGAGAAAGCCTGAAGCAACAGATATGTTTTGCTAATAAACGAGCATCCACTAGCATAACATAAGATGTGAGGTTGACATTTTTCAAGCAAAAAATATGAAGATTAGCTTTTTCTAGCCTCTCAAAACTATAGGATTTGCCATAGATGGTAGTTCATTTAATAGCTTGTGGCTGTTGCTCGGAAAAAAACTATCAAGGGTAAAGGTCACCTTATTGGTGAAATTCAGTTTGTCTTATATGTCATGGAATAAATTATAAAACAAGTAAATAATCAGCCTATTGTTAATTACTTATGTTAACATTAATATTATTGATTTACAATTGTTAGTTGCTATTCTAATAGAGAGAACAACATGGTGTGTGTTTGCCAGTAACCCCGGAAACTAAAACATAGGAAACATTTGTTTGTAAATGAACCTTAAGATTAGTGTTAAACTCATAATAGACAACAAAATATACAATCTAAGACTAATTAAACTAGAGTTATTTCAGTGTGAAGGCTCACCACTGTGAATTCCCAGGATAGAAGGTGAACAGCAAGGTGTAAGGCAGCAAGTGAATTAGCAGCTCCGAGATTTACTGTGTCCAACTCACCAGGGGATTAGTTACATGGTTATACAGTCACCGTGCATTTGTGTGTCTGCACATGTTGCACGACATGGCAGGCCAGAGGCAGCGAGGGTTACAGAGTGTGTGTGTGTGTGTGTGTGTGTGTGTGTGTGTGTGTGTGTGTGTGTGTGTGTGTGTGTGTGTGTGTGTGTGTGTGTGTGTGTGTGTGTGTGTGTGTGTGTGTGTGTGTGTTTGTGTGTGGTGCAGAGGAGGATTACCTCAGGAATGGATTTAACAAAACGGATGCCATCGTTAGCTCCCTTGATCTTAATCAGGCAGTCGCAGAAGTAATCCCAGTAGTCTTTTCTCTGACCAAGAAAGGTTGTCTTCTCTTTCTGGTCAAACTAAGAAACAAACATTACTTCATTATTGCATTGCCTAACAATGTCATCAGCAATATGCATTGTAAAACAGGTCTGTCTGACACATCCGGGTACAATTGTGATTAATAGGATTTCTATGAACTTCCTACATGTTTCCATTTCTTTCTAGCACTTTGCAAATCTGGGTTTAGGACTTCTCCAAACGGTCATCAGATATTACTATACTTATTTTATTATATTTTGAAATACTTAACCTGGCATGATCTTTAACATATTAAACAGTCTGTGTTAAATGAAACCCTCACAACTACAGTGCTTTATTTTAAGGCTTCACAACCAAAAAGGTTTACAAATCACTAGAGCACTGGTTCCCAATCTGTTTTACTAGTCGAATTTTTGAGCAAGAAAATGATTAGTCGCTTTCCCTTGTCAATATTTGAGATATGGAAAATTTAAAAGTAAAAAGTTATTTAGTTTAAACGGTTTGAAAATATGCACTCATGAGTTTTTTCTCATCAACAAATCTATGAAAGAGGTTCTTTCTATCTACGAAATATGTATTTTAATCATCTTACAACTGCTTGTTATATTGATATTCTCCGCCTTTAAGAGGTTCACATCCCCAAGTACAAGCTAGTGGTAGAGTCAGATGAGCAGTGCTGGTCAAATTGCAAACACAAGCTGTATCATCTTGAAAAACCCTGAACAAACGCTGGTGGTATACGATTCCATACCTGTAGCAGGTATTCAAGTTTATAGAAGAACTTGTGCAGGTTGGCGCTATCATCAGTTACCGGTTCACCACAGTCATTGTGTTCCTTACTCAACTCTAACACAGCATCTAAACAAGACAGTAACAGCATTGTTAACACATAAATACACAATTATCAAATTATGTCCTTGTGTGGAAACTCTTTTTGTATCAATATGCACACATTTTATGATCGCCTTATCAGTCATAGATGTTTATAAGGCAAAAAACATGTCCTGATATCTAAATGTTGTAATAATCCTGGGAGAAAGATGCATATGCCTACTTCACATGTAAAAAAAGACAGGGTGCCAGAAACATATGACGCAATATACCGTCATGGTGTTTATGTGAGTCAGTGTGAACATGTTATTTACCATGCAGATCTCTGATTATCCTCTGCAGTTGATTATCTCCAACTGATGAGGAGGAGGCCATTATGGGGAAGGGGCAGTGACGTCAGCAAATTCTGCATGTGGGATTGGAAAAAGACAGTGTCATTTATTTTTCGATATTATAGGAAGGTCCTAATGATATGAACAATGTTCCTTGTGTCATCGAAATGTCAAGGATGTACCTGTGTCCCTCAAAGTATGAATAAAGCATTTGATAGTATAACTAAGGAAAGCTGTTGCCAACAGGATTTCAACTTTCCATCCGGCAAACAGTTCAGGTAAATAAAATCACATTCTAACAGACTGGGGAACTGTGAACATACACAAACACACCTCAACCCCTCAAAGACTGTAAGCACCATTTTTTTGCATCTATGGTTACTTTTAGCATCTATTCATGAACACACAGTTATATTTAAACTTGTGTAGCTTTGTTTATTTAAATGGGATAGTGTGTTAAGTGCTTTGTCATTGCTGCTACCTCTGCTCTTATCACTGCTTTTATTTATTTTTGAGAGATACCAACGCAATGGTGTTGTACCTATGTATGATGACAATAAAGATATTCTGATTCTAAACACTACAATAGTACTTTCCTAAATGTGCACACCACTGCTGTTTATCACTTACATAAACACAGGAATACACTCTATCCAAACCCCAGAAGCCTTTAACAAATGAGGCAAATTAAACAATCCAGAGAGGGTTAATTCATATGTTAAAATAAGAAAGCACAGTAGGTCAGTCAAGTTAGCAAAACCGTACAGTGTGTGAGAGGAGATACAACATTTACATCACGAGGATAGGGGAAAGCGTATCACTGTTTCAAACCCGACTGACACCAGATGTAGGCTGTATATATTGTTATACACCGTCCCCATTACAAACTAGAAACATTACATCACTTAAAACCGCTTTAAAATGCAACAAATCGCCACACAAAGCTAGATAGTCAAAGCTGGTAGCTATCCTACATGCACCTGTTCTCAGCTCTTCATTTCCTTCTCGTATTTAATGTCAATGATGTTATAAACCATCGAGTTTTGGTTGTAAGCAAAGCGACACACTTCAATATTCAATAAACAGTACAATAATAAACGTACTCGATGTGTAAAATGTTCCAGTGTCCAGTTTGTAGGTGATACAGCAGAAACTTGCTAGGCGTAGAGGGCGGGCACTGTGGGTGATTGACAGGCGTGATGGACAAATAGACAGCGTCTGCTGCTGCTGAAGTCCGTCATAGTTTGGTTGAGAGACAAATGGTAAATAAACAGAAACCTGAGAAGAGTAAAGTGCTCATAGAGATCTAAATATATAATAAAATGTACTTTAAAAATGAATTGGGGGAAAAATGTATGCTTTGTATTTGGTTTGTATTTTTATTGTGTTGTGTTTTAATCCTTTGTTTTATTTTATCCACAAAGTTATTATGAAATAATAACTGACAAACTAAATAATTAAAGGTCTAAACTGTTTTTTATATGCACAAAATATTAGGTTTTATAAATCACACCATGTCATTTGTATTTTATTGTTATTATGTATTTTATTTTTTGTCTCCACCTTAACTGTTAACATGATGTTGTTAAGAGCAGATATTTTATGCAAATGTATAAAAGATAGTAGGCAAAAAGGGATACTTATAAAGGTGTTTAAAAAGAGTTGCATACTGTTCTAACACAGAAGAATAAGAAGAATCGACAGCTAACTGTGTAGATATCATAGAAACCATATGTAAAACATTTGTGTTTTCCCATTATATGTTAGTCTAATGTCAAAAGTAAATCGGTGCAATGGTATAATGAGCTTATATGTTATATTTTCTGTTTTAAATCATTTTTAGATTTTTCCTATCGTTTGGATTGTTGATTAGTATTTTAACTAATTTCTGAAAATTGAAATTGTGAATTTATGTATTTTTTCTGTTTTAAATCATTCTTTATTAAATGTATATTTGACTGTTGGTCAGATAGATCAACGAAATTAAGGATGTCATACTTGACTTTAGGAATGCTTTTATGTTACAATTTATAAAAGTTTAAATGAGAAATCCACACTTGGGACAATGCCGTTTGTGTTATTGTGGAACAAGTACAAGACCAATACAATACACTTCTGAAAACAGTGAGGTTTACCAAAAACAAGTACTGAACATATCTCGTAACGTGATCGAAACCAAAATGCCCAGCCTCTGACATCATTAGATCTCTGTTCACCTTTGGGTTTCATACTTAAGGAACAATTCCCTATTCCAGTGATATCTGCACGAGGGACGTTGGTGTGTGCAGGTACAGTAAATTGCCACATTTCTCAATTTGTTCTAGACGGATTCATTATAATTTTTTTATAATATCTAAAATGATGTCTATATAATGTTTTTTAGTTTAAGTAACATTTTGTTTTTGCTTAAAATGTTTGTCTTTTTTTATTTCATTCGGTCACTGTATATAAAAAAGCTGGAAATTGAAGCATGAATATTTGAATGCTCATTCAGCTCAAATAATTTATAAAATATATTTACCTTCTCCCTTTCCTTTAGTGGTAGCCATGCAGAGAATTTCTTTGGGGGGTATATTTAGAGGCACTTTTCAATTGAGAAGTTAACATGTTTCTAGTTGCGAAGAATAGTTATTAAACTGTCCACATTTAAGACTGTTGATAATTCAAAATATAGAAACATTGTGAATGATAAGAGCCTGTTGCTGTTGAAATCTGTAATTTGGGTAAAGTGATGCTTTTAAATATATGAGATAAATCATGGAAAAAAGGAAGTCATATATCAAGAGAATGTTATTAATCTATAGACATATTATACTATGAAATGTCTAATTTATCTGTAAAAATAGTTTTTACAATGTTATCATCTAATTTGGTATAATTAAGTCTGTTTAACCCCCTTTACTTTACACAACCCTTTTTTTCAGACTCTCTACTTGCTGAAGGAATATGGCAACAACTGACTCAGCCTATGACCTAACCACAGACTATTATACCTATGACGATGATTATGAGGATGAAGTGTGCAACATATCAAGCATCGTTCAGTTTGGAGCAACCTTGACTCCAGTGGTCCTCTCCATTGTGGTCATCCTCAGTCTGTTTGGCAACATCCTGGTCATCGTGATTCTGGCAAAGTATGAGAATCTCAAATCTCTCACCAACACTTTGATCCTAAACCTGGCCATATCGGATCTCTTCTTCACCGCAGGTCTGCCCTTCTGGGTCTACTATCACATGTACGGATGGACTTTAGGGCAACTTGCATGCCAGATAGTCAACTTTTTCTTCTACGTTGGTTTCTACAGCAGTGGGATCCTCCTCATCCTGATGACTGCTCACCGTTATGTAGCCGTCATGAATCCTCTGTCTGACATTGTCTCCACCACAGGCTCCTACAGTGTTATGGCGTGTGTGATCATCTGGGCAGTGAGTATATTGATTGCCAGTCCAACCTTCGCCTTTACCAAAGGCGACCAGAATCACTGTGTGTGTGAAAATTCTTTCTGGTGCTTATGGGGAATCTACCAGCAAAATGCTCTCTTCATTGTGAGTTCAGTGGTGTTTATTTTCTGCTATTCTCAGATCATCTGCAGGTTGCTGCGGCCTACTGCTCGAAGAAGAAAGAGCAAAACTTTAAAACTCATTTTTGCCCTTATGGTTGTTTTCTTTGTCGGCTGGGGACCTTTTAATATAGTGATATTTCTAAAGTCATTTAATTACTGGCCCAAAACATCTGTTGACTCAAAGAATCTATCGGAAAATTGTGAATCATCAAAGCCTCTCAAATACGCCTTTTACATTAGCCGACTTCTGGCCTTTTCACACTGCTGCCTCAACCCTGTGTTTTATGTGTTTGTGGGGGTTAAATTCAAAAACCACCTGAAGAAAATGCTGAAGGGCTGGGGACAAAGCAACAATGGCTTACGCAATAGGCATAGCCGACTTACAATTACATCCATAACAAGTGGTGAGGAATTTTCTATTTAGTTGATATGGAGAGCAGAGGTGAAACCCGAACTTCTAAACCAGAAAAGAGAACATCTAAAATCCTATTGACATTTGTAAATGTATACTGTATGGAACAAATAGAAAACAATCCTGGCTTGTTGTAGTATTTGTCATGGATCTAGTGATATTGTTGTGATTTCTGTTTTAAGTGACCTTTAATTAACACCATTTCCCACAAGCCCTATATCTTTGGGAATTTCATTCACAGGAAGAGAAAGAAAATGTATTTGTATATTACTTTGAGTGAGTTCACTATGAGATGGCCCTTCCTTAAAAGAAAACACATAACCAAACAGATATACACTGAAGAGTCATTTCTGCTATCACTTGCAGATAAGCGCTGAACACAAATCAATCTGAACAAGCTCATCTAATATAGTAAACAGGGTAAGCATTGTCCCTGCTAAACATTAGGGTGTTTGACTTGTCATTTAGTGTAGCAGGCTGACTAACTCTGCTTTGACTATAGGTACATGGTGCCGGATTCCATTTTGTATTATTTAGTCAACATCTTCATCCCCCTGATTGACACAAACAATAATTCAACAATCAAACTGCACATCGGTCTATTGAGTTCACAGATAATCCTGCAAAAACAAAAAGCCAACTCTCCTGGCTTATTACTAAGAGAGGTCAGAGGAGAATAAAGTGGTGCAAGCTGACAGAAAGGTGGCAGTAATTTAAATGCTAAAGTTTGAGGGCATACAGCAGACGGAGAACACACAGGTTTTACTCCTGGCTCACAGAAACTGGAGAGAAGATTTCAAAAACAGCGCCTGTTCTGACAAATCTCCATGTCTGCTGCTGGTCAGAATTTGGCGTGACTCGTGAATAACAGGAAGCCATGGATCCATCCTGCATTGAGTCAACGGTTCAGGCTGGTGGTGCAATGCTCTCTGGAATATTTTGTTGGCACATGTTGGGCCCTTACACACCAACTGAACACTGTTTGAATACCAGCAGTATAAGCAGTCATATCCCAGAGTAGACGTTGTCTCGAATGTGTTGTAATAAACCCATTGACTCTGTAAGAAAATGAATTGTTCCAAGCATTATAGGTAATCTACAATATCTAACCATACTTTTTAACAAAATCCGCTTATTTGATCTTTTAATATCTAATCAAACTATGTGAAATCAAGTTCTTATTGAAACATTGATCATAGATTACTGTACATTATACTGCATATAATATGTGATACACTGTGTTTTCACTGCATTTTATTTTATGTTTTCCTATTAAACAATTTATGTCAGTTGTTTATATTGACACCTTTAAGATTCTTGCAATCACAAAAGTCAAATGTTTTATTTTAGACAATGTTGAATTTGTAACAGAAATGTGTTTGTTTTTCTTTGATAATAATATCATTATCACTTTCATGCTTTACAATAAAATAGAGCAACACATATTTCTGGAGTGTATCCTTCCTGCTCTTACAGTAGATAATGTTATTACATTTCATTTAGCTGACGCTTTTATCCAAAGCAATTTACAATTACCAATTACAGGGACATTCTCCCTGGAGTAAATAAGGACTAAGTGCCTTACTCAAGGGCACACTAGAGGTGGTGTTCCTGGCGGGATTTGAACTCACAACCTTCCAATCTTCAGCCCACCTCACTATCCATTAGACCACCACTATCCCTGTTTTAAAAGTAGAACACATGTCACTATTTTTAGGAAATCTATATATTCATTCTTAAACTGTAATGATGATGCATCACCTCTGATTAAGGTGAAACCAAAGAAGGAGCTTCGTCATTAGTTTCCTCTTTTATTGAACAACTTCTCCGTCACTGTGAAACTCACCACATGAAGTGACAGTCGTTGATCAGGGTAAGTTGCTTAATATTTACTTTAATTGCTTTCCATATTTAATGGTGATGTTCTAACTATATAATATATTGTTCTGTTTTTCTAGGAATTACTTTTTAAAACTTAATTTCACTTAGGGTCATCTTCTCACTTATAATTACACTTTGCACATTTTTGTTTTCTGCTTATGTTTCCCAGAATACAACGTACAATGGCATTCAACAACTCCACAGTGAACAGAGGTAAAAACTACTGCTCTGAAGTCTTTAAGTTGCTGTTTGACTTGGAAACCTTTGAAATCTACTCATACATTTTGATCTTCATCCTCAGTATCATAGGAAACTTCCTCCTCTTATATGTCCTCTTTCTCTATGAGAACTTAAAAAATGTCACAAATCTATTTGTCCTGAACCTTGCCTGCTCCGATTTGATGCTCACAGTCACACTTCCATTCTGGGCCGTCTATCTGCTGCAGGAGTGGGTCTTTGGTCATTTTGCCTGCACATTTGTGATAGTGACAGAGATTGTTGGTTTGTACAGTAGCGTCATTCTACTGACTGCCATGACTGTGGACCGTTTCATAACTGTGGTGCTGCACAACATGCCAAGAAACAAAGTAAGGAGGCAGAGGTTTGCAGCATTGAGCTGTGCAGCTGCATGGATCATCAGCATCTCTGTTTCTATACATGTTGCTACTAGAGTCACGGTGGAAGACTGGCGTGGTCGTTCGGTGTGTTCGATTCGGACTTCTTATGTGGACTATGATTTTAACCTTGCAGTGTCTCTGCTCTTCTTCTTCCTGTTATCCATCATTGTTTTCTGCTATTCTGCCATCCTCAAGACAGTGTTGCAGGCTTCAAACAGAAGAAAGCACAGGACGGTAGTGGTGGTGTTATGTATAGTTGCTGCCTTCATCATCTGCTTGGTACCTTACAATATTTTGGATATAATCGTGTCCCTCAAGGAACCTGAAAACTGTAATGCATTGAAACGTGAGATTATTGCCTTAAGTATTTGTCAGATACTTGCTCATTCTCACTGCTGTATGAACCCTATTCTGTATATGCTCTCAGAAAAGTGGCGAAAGCATCTTTTGGATCTTTTTAGCTGCAAGAAAGTCAGGAGGGTGAGAGACAGGAAGAGAACCACTGACTCTTCTGTTAAGCAGAACGTAGCTTTTAAAGCACAAAGCTCTGCTGTTGTGTTGGAACCAACCTGCAGCTAAACATTCATCGCTAAAATGAAAGCATCAATTAATACTTGATATGATATTTGTTTGAACTAGTTTAACCTATAGTGTTCACATTTCCATAGAGATATTAGGGGGACTACTTTAATGTAATTCTCTATACATCTTTGATCCACTATTTACATTTTGAACAGAAGTTTACACTTTCCCATGCAGTATTCTTTTAAAACAGACCCTGGATTTCGGACAGGGTGACAAATGCAAGTTATTTATATTTGTATTCAAATCTGCATAGTTTTTTTAATGAGTTTTAGGTAACTCGCTAGTTAATTTAGCTCTTATTAGCTTGGTGAGTTGGTTGTAAATACTGTCACTGGCTGTCTTAAAGTTTTATCTTACTCATTAAGGCTAAAGTTTGCAAAAAGTTTGTATCCCTAAGAAAACCATGTAAAGATTCAATGGTGTTGTATAACATTTAATGCTTAGGTATCTATGTTTTACATTTTGCAATAAGCCATACATAAGTCTTTCAACAATGTGACACTATTTGGAAAACATTACGCTCAAATATGATAAAGAACAGTACAACCCCGCCAACATTACTCTAAACTCTGATAGCATCTAAGGCCAGCTTTTTTTCATTTATTTTGTACTCAAGCTGCAGACCCACAAACAGATATGCTGATACGCTAGATAAGTCCATCCTCACAGTCTTTCGCTTGTGTTTTTGCTTTAGTGTTAAAAACAACAAAATATATTACATCATACAACTGATAAATACAAGCTTGAAAGACATGCCACCTTTTGGCGGAGAAATTTCACAAAAGGTTAAAGCAGATGCTATTTGCACCCGGGTGTCTATGGTCAACAATACTATTTGCACCCAGATTTCTATGAGTTAATATGTATGTCATTTTTTAATTGTTTTTATTAATTTTAATTTACATTTTTTAAAGATGATATGTTCACTTTGTGTTGCATTTTTAGTTTTTGTTTAATATCAAATATATATCTAAATTATTTATATTGTCACATTAAAGGTAGGGTAGGTACGTTTGAGAAACCTGCTCGAGATCGCTAGAATTTGAAAATACACAACCGGAGAAAATCTGCCACTTCCTTATAGAGCCCCTCCTCCAACACACACGCACGCGCACATGACCAATGAGGGCACGAGATAAGTTTGTGCACAGATGGAAGGCTGACAGGCAGGTAGGCCATCCAGTTATTTTAGCCGGGCCGGCTAAAATGATTGGTCGTACTTTTTACAGTATTACGGCTTCCACAGATGACATTTTTTTATGGATTTTTTGTCAAAGCACTTAAGATATTCGTTGCGATCGGGATGTTAAGAGCATTCCATGGAATATAACAAAAAGTGTTTCTGAAGTGCATTACCTACCCCACCTTTAAAGAGTCTTGCAAGCAAAATAAAAATATTTTCCTCTCCAAAGAATCATTTTTCTTGTAACCAATTTGGAACTTGAAACAATATAAAATATGTTTATTTTTTATTGATAATATAACTATCCATATCATTTTCATGTTTTACAATAAAATACAACAACAAATATTTCTGGACTGTCTCCGTGTTGCTGTTTCTATACAATGTTATAAAAGCAAAACAGCAACAATAAATATGTCACCATTTTTTTGTTAATCTTAATATATTCCTTCCTTTACTGAATTTATGATGCAACACCTCTGATTAAGGTGATATATATGTATATATATATATATAATCATGTCCCTCAATGAACCTGAAAACTGTTATGCTTCGAACCGTGTGATTATTGCCTTAAGTATTTGTAATGTGCTTGCTCATTCTCACTGCTGTATGAACCCTATTCTGTATATGCTCTCAGAAAAGTGGCGAAAGCATCTTTTGGATCTTTTTAGCTGCAAGAAAGTCAGGAGGGTGAGAGACAGAAAGAGAACCACTGGCTCTTCTGTTAAGCAGAAAGTAGTTTTTAAAGCACAAAGCTCTGCTGTTGTGTTGGAACCAACCTGCAGCTAGACATTCATCGCTAAAATGAAAGCATCAATTAATACTTAGTATAATATTTGTTTTGAACTAGTTTAACCTATGGTGTTCACATTTCCTTAACAATATTAGGGTGACTACTTTAATGTAAGTCTCTATAAATGTAGACAGACCTAACTTGTCAATTTTTAACAGAAGTTTACGCTTTCTTAGTATTTTCTTAAAGGTCTCCTATCATGCAAAATTCACTTTTTGATGTCTTTTATACATAAATATGTGTCCCCGGTGTGTCAGGAAACTCACAAAGTGTCAGAAAACAAAACCCTCTTTCTTTTCCTCCGTACCCAAATCTCTAAAAACGGGGATACAACGGAGCTGATCCAGATTTGCTGGCAATATGACGTAATATCGGAAATGTGGGCTGGCTTTACACCCACGGCCCTATCAGAAACGTCGCTATCAGAAACAATGTGCAACGTGTGTTGGAAGTAATATGGTCTTTGTTTACATTAGCAAGCATCGCTCACACTCGGAGCTAACCTGTACTGGAGAGAGTAAGTGTAAAAAATCAGGATATAAAAAGGTACTCACCTTGTGGTAAACCAGCAAGAGAAAAAGCATTTGAGCTCCATACTGTTTCAGAAATAATCCTTAATGTGGTTTTGAACATGATATGGCGTTTAATCACGGCAGCATTTAGTTGTATCTGGGTAGAATTCTTCTGATCAGATACTCAGCATAAGCTCCCCCCCCCCTTTTTTTTAATTTTCTTTTTTTATAAAGCTTTAGACCCAGAATCAGCACTTCTAACAGGGCTGAAATAGAGGGATACGAGGGATGTCTAAAATGCATGATCTGTTTGGTATTTTGAGCCAAACGCATCATAGACATGTTTTTTTATATATTTTTATATATCTGAGGCCCATCATGTATTCCTAAAGATAGCATGATAGGAGAACTTTAAATTAGCTATCCTAGATTTGGGACAGGGTGACACATGCAAGTTAATTTAGCTTCATTCGCTTTTTAAGTTGGTTCTAAAAATGGTTCTAAAAATGATATGTGTTGTACATTATTTAATCAAACATGTAAACCAATTCCATTTATTTCCCCCTTTTTAATTTCCAATGAAGTTTTGTGCTTGAAAAAAAATCAGCTCTGTATCAGTTGGTAAATATTCATGTGATTTCAAATTCATGTTGATACATTGATTATGCATTGCACTGTAGATAATATGTGAAACACTTCTTCACTGCATTTGACTTGTTTCATATTAAATCATCTATCTCAGTTGTTACTGTAGTTGTTATATTGTCACCTTTAGGAGTCTTGCAAACAAAACAGAACATCATTTATTTTCAAAATGTTATATATATTTGTTTTGATAGATTTGGAATTTGTAAAAAATGTGTTTTTATTTGCCTGAACATATCATCATCATCATCATCATCATCATCATCATCATCATCATCATCATCATCATCATCATCATCATCATCATCATCATCATCATCATTTCCATGCTACTATAAACAAGATCAAAACATATTTCTGGAGTGTATCCTTCCTTCCTGCTGTTTCTATGTTATGTTTTAAAAGCAGAACATCACCAATATACACATCACCAATTTTGGTTAATCTTAACATATTCATGCCTTCACTGGAATGATGAAGCAACACCTCTGAATAATTTAAAACCAAAGGCGGAGTTACTGCATGAGTTTGCTCTTTTATTGCTCAACTTCTCCATCACAATCATATTCACCACATGAAGTGACAGTCGTTGTTCAGGGTAAGTTGCTTAATATTTACTGTAATTGATTTCCATATTTAAGGGCAATGTTCTTACTACATAATTGTTTTCTGTATTGTTATATTTTTCTAGGAGTTACTTTTTAAAACTAAATGTTACTGAAGGTGAAAGATATCTGCTCAATTTGCCAATTACATTTTTCTGCTTATGTTTCCTAGAAAACAACTTACAATGGCATTCAACAACTCCACAGTGAACTTTGAATATGAAAACTCCAGCTCTGAAGTCTGTGAGATGGTGGTGGTCATGGAAACTTTTGAAATCTACTCATGCATTTTGATCTTCATCCTCAGTATCATAGGAAACTTCCTCCTCTTATATGTCCTCTTTCTCTATGAGAACTTAAAAAATGTCACAAATCTATTTGTCCTGAACCTTGCCTGCTCCGATTTGATGATGACAGTCACACTTCCTTTCTGGGCCGTCTATCAGCTGCAGGACTGGGTCTTTGGTGATTTTGCCTGCACATTTGTGATAGTGACAAAGATTGTTGGTTTGTACAGTAGCGTCATTCTACTGACTGCCATGACTGTGGACCGTTTCATAACTGTGGTGCTGCACAACATGCCAATAAACAAAGTAAGGAGGCAGAGGTTTGCAGCATTGAGCTGTGCAGCTGCATGGATCATCAGCATTTCTGTTTCTATACATGTTGCTACCAGAGTCACGGTGAAAGACTGGGGTGGTCGTTCCATGTGTTTATCTAATGTGGACTTTGCATTTAATCTTGCAGTGTCTCTGCTCTTCGTCTTTCTGCTAGCCATCATTGTTTTCTGCTATTCTGCCATCCTCAAGACAGTGTTGCAGGCTTCAAACAGAAGAAAGCGCAGGACAGTAGTGGTGGTGTTATGTATAGTTGCTGCCTTCATCATCTGCAGGGTACCTTACAATATTTTCTTTATAATCAGGTCCTTCTATGAACCTAAAAACTGTTATGCATCGAAACGTGAGATTATTGCCTTTATTATTTGTAATGTACTTGCTTATTCTCACTGCTGCATGAACCCTATTCTGTATATGCTCTCAGAAAAGTGGCGAAAGCATCTTTTGGATCTTTTTAGCTGCAAGAAAGTCAGGAGGGTGAGAGACAGGAAGAGAACCACTGGCTCTTCTGTTAAGCAGAACGTAGCTTTTAAAGCACAAAGCTCTGCTGTTGTGTTGGAACCAACCTGCAGCTAGACATTCATCGCTAAAATGAAAACATCAATTAATACTTAGTATAATATTTGTTTTGAACTAGTTTAACCTATAGTGTTCACATTTCCTTAAAGATATTAAGGGGACTACTTTAATGTAAGTCTCTATAAATGTAGACCTAACATGTCAGTTTACGCTTTCTCAGTATTCTTTTTACATTTGCTATCCTAGATTTGGGACAGGGTGACACATGAGAGTTTATTTAGCTTCATTAGCTTTGTAAGATGGTTCTAAAAATGAGTTGGTTCTAAAAATGGTTCTAAAAATGATATGTGATGTACTATTTATTCAAACATGTAAACCAATTCCATTTATTTCCCCCTTTTTAATTTCCAATCAAGTTTTGTGCTTGAAAAAAAATCAGCTCTGTATCAGTTGGTATCTATTCATGTGATTTCAAATTCATGTTGATACATTGATTATGCATTGCACTGTAGATAATATGTGAAACACTTCTTCACTGCATTTGACTTGTTTCATATTAAATCATCTATCTCAGTTGTTACTGTAGTTGTTATATTGTCACCTTTAGGAGTCTTGCAAACAAAACAGAACATCATTTATTTTCAAAATGTTATATATATTTGTTTTGATAGATTTGGAATTTGTAAAAAATGTGTTTTTATTTGCCTGAACATATCATCATCATCATCATCATCATCATCATCATCATCATCATCATCATCATCATCATCATCATCATCATCATCATCATCATCATCATCTTCATCATCATCTTCATCATCATCATCATCATCATCATCATCATCATCATTTCCATGCTACTATAAACAAGATCAAAACATATTTCTGGAGTGTATCCTTCCTTCCTGCTGTTTCTATGTTATGTTTTAAAAGCAGAACATCACCAATATACACGTCACCAATTTTGGTTAATCTTAACATATTCATGCCTTCACTGGAATGATGAAGCAACACCTCTGAATAAATTAAAACCAAAGGCGGAGTTACTGCATGAGTTTGCTCTTTTATTGCTCAACTTCTCCATCACAATCATATTCACCACATGAAGTGACAGTCGTTGATCAGGGTAAGTTGCTTAATATTTACTGTAATTGATTTCCATATTTAAGGGCAATGTTCTTACTACATAATTGTTTTCTGTATTGTTATATTTTTCTAGGAGTTACTTTTTAAAACTAAATTTGACTGAAGGTGAAAGATATCTGCTCAATTTGCCAATTACATTTTTCTGCTTATGTTTCCTAGAAAACAACTTACAATGGCATTCAACAACTCCACAGTGAACTTTGAATATGAAAACTCCAGCTCTGAAGACTGTGAGATGGTGTTTGACTTGAAAACTTTTGAAATCTACTCATGCATTTTGATCTTCATCCTCAGTATCATAGGAAACTTCCTCCTCTTATATGTCCTCTTTCTCTATGAGAACTTAAAAAATGTCACAAATCTATTTGTCCTGAACCTTGCCTGCTCCGATTTGATGATCACAGTCACACTTCCGTTCTGGGCCGTCTATCAGCTGCAGGACTGGGTCTTTGGTGATTTTGCCTGCACATTTGTGATAGTGACAAAGATTGTTGGTTTGTACAGTAGCGTCATTCTACTGACTGCCATGACTGTGGACCGTTTCATAACTGTGGTGCTGCACAACATGCCAATAAACAAAGTAAGGAGGCAGAGGTTTGCAGCATTGAGCTGTGCAGCTGCATGGATCATCAGCATTTCTGTTTCTATACATGTTGCTACCAGAGTCACGGTGAAAGACTGGGGTGGTCGTTCCATGTGTTTATCTAATGTGGACTTTGCATTTAATCTTGCAGTGTCTCTGCTCTTCTTCTTCCTGTTATCCATCATTGTTTTCTGCTACTCTGCCATCATCAAGACAGTGTTGCAGGCTTCAAACAGAAGAAAGCGCAGGACAGTAGTGGTGGTGTTATGTATAGTTGCTGCCTTCATCATCTGCTGGGTACCTTACAATATTTTCTTTATAATCAGGTCCTTCTATAAACCTAAAAACTGTTATGCATTGAAACGTGAGATTATTGCCTTTATTATTTGTAATGTACTTGCTTATTCTCACTGCTGCATGAACCCTATTCTGTATATGCTCTCAGAAAAGTGGCGAAAGCATCTTTTGGATCTTTTAGCTGCAAGAAAGTCAGGAGGGTGAGAGACAGAAAGAGAACCACTGGCTCTTCTGTTAAGCAGAACGTAGCTTTTAAAGCACAAAGCTCTGCTGTTGTGTTGGAACCAACCTGCAGCTAGACATTCATCGCTAAAATGAAAACATCAATTAATACTTAGTATAATATTTGTTTTGAACTAGTTTAACCTATAGTGTTCACATTTCCTTAAAGATATTAAGGGGACTACTTTAATGTAAGTCTCTATAAATGTAGACCTAACATGTCAGTTTACGCTTTCTCAGTATTCTTTTTACATTTGCTATCCTAGATTTGGGACAGGGTGACACATGAGAGTTTATTTAGCTTCATTAGCTTTGTAAGATGGTTCTAAAAATGAGTTGGTTCTAAAAATGGTTCTAAAAATGATATGTGATGTACTATTTATTCAAACATGTAAACCAATTCCATTTATTTCCCCCTTTTTAATTTCCAATCAAGTTTTGTGCTTGAAAAAAAATCAGCTCTGTATCAGTTGGTATCTATTCATGTGATTTCAAATTCATGTTGATACATTGATTATGCATTGCACTGTAGATAATATGTGAAACACTTCTTCACTGCATTTTACTTAATGGTTTCATATTAAATCATCTATCTCAGTTGTTACTGTAGTTGTTATATTGTCACCTTTAGGAGTCTTGCAAACAAAACAGAACATCATTTATTTTCAAAATGTTATATATATTTGTTTTGATAGATTTGGAATTTGTAAAAAATGTGTTTTTATTTGCCTGAACATATCATCATCATCATCATCATCATCATCATCATCATCATCATCATCATCATCATCATCATCATCATCATCATCATCATCATCATCATCATCATCATCATCATTTCCATGCTACTATAAACAAGATCAAAACATATTTATGGAGTGTATCCTTCCTTCCTGCTGTTTCTATGTTATGTTTTAAAAGCAGAACATCACCAATATACACCTCACCAATTTTGGTTAATCTTAACATCATGCCTTCACTGGAATGATGAAGCAACACCTCTGAATAAATTAAAACCAAAGGCGGAGTTACTGCATGAGTTTGCTCTTTTATTGCTCAACTTCTCCATCACAATCATATTCACCACATGAAGTGACAGTCGTTGATCAGGGTAAGTTGCTTAATATTTACTGTAATTGATTTCCATATTTAAGGGCAATGTTCTTACTACATAATTGTTTTCTGTATTGTTATATTTTTCTAGGAGTTACTTTTTAAAACTAAATTTGACTGAAGGTGAAAGATATCTGCTCAATTTGCCAATTACATTTTTCTGCTTATGTTTCCTAGAAAACAACTTACAATGGCATTCAACAACTCCACAGTGAACTTTGAATATGAAAACTCCAGCTCTGAAGACTGTGAGATGGTGTTTGACTTGAAAACTTTTGAAATCTACTCATGCATTTTGATCTTCATCCTCAGTATCATAGGAAACTTCCTCCTCTTATATGTCCTCTTTCTCTATGAGAACTTAAAAAATGTCACAAATCTATTTGTCCTGAACCTTGCCTGCTCCGATTTGATGATCACAGTCACACTTCCTTTCTGGGCCGTCTATCAGCTGCAGGACTGGGTCTTTGGTGATTTTGCCTGCACATTTGTGATAGTGACAAAGATTGTTGGTTTGTACAGTAGCGTCATTCTACTGACTGCCATGACTGTGGACCGTTTCATAACTGTGGTGCTGCACAACATGCCAATAAACAAAGTAAGGAGGCAGAGGTTTGCAGCATTGAGCTGTGCAGCTGCATGGATCATCAGCATTTCTGTTTCTATACATGTTGCTACCAGAGTCACGGTGAAAGACTGGGGTGGTCGTTCCATGTGTTTATCTAATGTGGACTTTGCATTTAATCTTGCAGTGTCTCTGCTCTTCTTCTTCCTGTTATCCATCATTGTTTTCTGCTACTCTGCCATCATCAAGATAGTGTTGCAGGCTTCAAACAGAAGAAAGCGCAGGACAGTAGTGGTGGTGTTATGTATAGTTGCTGCCTTCATCATCTGCTGGGTACCTTACAATATTTTCTTTATAATCAGGTCCTTCTATAAACCTAAAAACTGTTATGCATTGAAACGTGAGATTATTGCCTTTATTATTTGTAATGTACTTGCTTATTCTCACTGCTGCATGAACCCTATTCTGTATATGCTCTCAGAAAAGTGGCGAAAGCATCTTTTGGATCTTTTTAGCTGCAAGAAAGTCAGGAGGGTGAGAGACAGAAAGAGAACCACTGGCTCTTCTGTTAAGCAGAACGTAGCTTTTAAAGCACAAAGCTCTGCTGTTGTGTTGGAACCAACCTGCAGCTAGACATTCATCGCTAAAATGAAAACATCAATTAATACTTGATATGATATTTGTTTTGAACTAGTTTAACCTATAGTGTTCACATTTCCTTAAAGATATTAAGGGGACTACTTTAATGTAAGTCTCTATAAATGTAGACCTAACATGTCAGTTTACGCTTTCTCAGTATTCTTTTTACATGTGCTATCCTAGATTTGGGACAGGGTGACACATGAGAGTTTATTTAGCTTCATTAGCTTTGTAAGATGGTTCTAAAAATGAGTTGGTTCTAAAAATGGTTCTAAAAATGATATGTGTTGTACTATTTAATCAAACATGTAAACCAATTCCATTTATTTCCCCCTTTTTAATTTCCAATCAAGTTTTGTGCTTGAAAAAAAATCAGCTCTGTATCAGTTGGTATCTATTCATGTGATTTCAAATTCATGTTGATACATTGATTATGCATTGCACTGTAGATAATATGTGAAACACTTCTTCACTGCATTTGACTTAATGGTTTCATATTAAATCATCTATCTGAGTTGTTACTGTAGTTGTTATATTGTCACCTTTAGGAGTCTTGCAAACAAAACAGAACATCATTTATTTTCAAAATGTTATATATATTTGTTTTGATAGATTTGGAATTTGTAAAAAATGTGTTTTTATTTGCCTGAACATATCATCATCATCATCATCATCATCATCATCATCATCATCATCATCATCATCATCATCATCATCATCATCATCATTTCCATGCTACTATAAACAAGATCAAAACATATTTCTGGAGTGTATCCTTCCTTCCTGCTGTTTCTATGTTATGTTTTAAAAGCAGAACATCACCAATATACACGTCACCAATTTTGGTTAATCTTAACATCATGCCTTCACTGGAATGATGAAGCAACACCTCTGAATAAATTAAAACCAAAGGCGGAGTTACTGCATGAGTTTGCTCTTTTATTGCTCAACTTCTCCATCACAATCATATTCACCACATGAAGTGACAGTCGTTGATCAGGGTAAGTTGCTTAATATTTACTGTAATTGATTTCCATATTTAAGGGCAATGTTCTTACTACATAATTGTTTTCTGTATTGTTATATTTTTCTAGGAATTACTTTTAAAAAATAAATTTTACTGAAGGTGAAAGATATCTGCTCAATTTGCCAATTAAATTGTTCTGCTTATGTTTCCTAGAAAACAACATACAATGGCATTCAACAACTCCACCGTGAACTTCGAATATGATGACTACTGCTCTGAAGTCTTTGAGATGCTGTTTGACTTGGAAACCTTTGAAATCTCCTCATACATTTTGATCTTCATCCTCAGTATCATAGGAAACTGCCTCCTTTTATATGTCCTCTTTCTCTATGAGCACTTAAAAAATGTCACAAATCTATTCGTCCTGAACCTTGCCTGCTCCGATTTGATGATCACAGTCACACTTCCTTTCTGGGCCGTCATGCTGCTGCAGGACTGGGTCTTTGGTGATTTTGCCTGCACATTTGTGACTTCGGCACGGATTGTTGGTGTGTACAGCAGCATCATTCTACTGACTGCCATGACTGTGGACCGTTTCATAACTGTGGTGCTGCACAGCATGCCAAGAAACAAAGTAAGGAGGCAGAGGTTTGCAGCATTGAGCTGTGCAGCTGCATGGATCATCAGCATTTATGTTTCTATACATGTTGCTACTAGAGTCACGGTGGAAGACTGGCGCGGTCGTTCGATGTGTTTATATTATTTTGACTTTGCATTTGATCTTGCAGTGTCTGTGCTCTTCTTCTTCCTGTTATCCATCATTGTTTTCTGCTATTCTGCCATCATCAAGATAGTGTTGCAGGCTTCAAACAGAAGAAAGCGCAGGACAGTAGTGGTGGTGTTATGTATAGTTGCTGCCTTCATCATCTGCTGGGTACCTTTCAATATTTTCTTTATAATCGTGTCCTTCTATAAACCTAAAAACTGTTATGCATTGAAACGTGTGAATATTGCCTCTAGTATTTGTCGTGTACTTGCTTATTCTCACTGCTGTATGAACCCTATTCTGTATATGCTCTCAGAAAAGTGGCGAAAGCATCTTTTGGATCTTTTTAGCTGCAAGAAAGTCAGGAGGGTGAGAGACAGAAAGAGAACCACTGGCTCTTCTGTTAAGCAGAACGTAGCTTTTAAAGCACAAAGCTCTGCTGTTGTGTTGGAACCAACCGGCAGCTAGACATTCATTGCTAAAATGAAAACATCAATTAATACTTAGTATAATAGTGTTTTGAACTAACTTAACCTATAGTGTTCACATTTCCATAATGATATTAAGGGGACTACTTTAATGTAAGTCTCTATAAATGTAGACCTAACATGTCAGTTTACGCTTTCTCAGTATTCTTTTTACATTTGCTATCCTAGATTTGGGACAGGGTGACACATGAGAGTTTATTTAGCTTCATTAGCTTTGTAAGATGGTTCTAAAAATGAGTTGGTTCCAAAAATGGTTCTAAAAAGTACATGTGATCAGATCTGTATCATTTGGTATATGTTCATGTGATTTCAAATTCATGTTGATACATTGATTATGCATTGTACTGTAGATAATATGTGAAACACTTCTTCACTGCATTTTACTTAATGGTTTCATATTAAATCATCTATCTCAGTTGTTACTGTAGTTGTTATATTGTCACCTTTAGGAGTCTTGCAAACAAAACAGAACATCATTTATTTTCAAAATGTTATATAATTTGTCAAAAATGTGTGTTTATATTTGCTTGAACATTTCATCATCATCATCACTATTATTTCCATGCTACAATCAAATTGATCAAAACATATTTCTGGGGTGTATCCTTCCTTCCTGCTGTTTCGAGATTATGTTCTAAATCAGAACATCAACAATATACACGTCACCAATTGTGGTTAATCTAAAAATATTCATGCCTTCACTGGAATGATGATGCAACACCCCTGATTAATAGGAACCCAAAGGTGGAGCTTCTTCATTAGTTTGCTCTCTTATTACTGAGAGAGGTCAGAGGAGAATAAAGTGGTGCAAGCTGACAGAAAGGTGGCAGTAACTTAAATGCTAAAGTTTGAGGGCATACAGCAGACGGAGAACACACAGGTTTTACTCCTGGCTCACAGAAACTGGAGAGAAGGTTTCAAAAACAGCGCCTGTTCTGACAAATCTCCATGTCTGCTGCTGGTCAGAATTTGGCGTGAACAACATGAAGCCATGGATCCATCCTGCATTGAGTCAACGGTTCAGGCTGGTGGTGCAATGCTCTCTGGGATATTTTGTTGGCACATGTTGGGCCCTTACACACCAACTGAACACTGTTTGAATACCAGCAGTATAAGCAGTCATATCCCAGAGTAGACGTTGTCTCGAATGTGTTGTAATAAACCCATTGACTCTGTAAGAAAATGAATTGTTCCAAGCATTATATGTAATCTACAATATCTAACCATACTTTTTAATCAAATCCGCTTATTTGATCTTTTAATATCCAATCAAACTGTGCTTTTACAAAAGGACAATCAGCTCCGTATCATTTTGATCATATTTATGTGAAATCAAGTTCTTATTGAAACATTGATCATAGATTACATTATACTGCATATAATATGTGAGACACTGTGTTTTACTGCATTTTATTTTATGTTTTCCTATTAAACCATTTATGTCAGTTGTTTATATCGTCACCTTTAAGATTCTTGCAATCACAAAAGTAAAATGTTTTATTTCGAACAATGTTGAATTTGTAACAGAAATGTGTTTGTTTTTCTTTGATAATAATATCATTATCACTTTCATGCTTTACAATAAAATAGAGCAACAGATATTTCTGGAGTGTCTATTTCCTGCTCTTTGATAATGTTAGAAATGTAGAACACATGTCACCATTTTTTGTAAACCTATATATTCATTCTTAAACTGTAATGATGATGCATCACCTCTGATTATGTGAAACCAAAGGAGGAGCTTCTTCATTAGTTTGATCTTATATCACACAACTTCTCCGTCACAGGGAAACTCACCACATGAAGTGACAGTCGTTGTTCAGGGTAAGTTGCTTAATATTTACTTTAATTGCTTTCCATATTTAATGGTGATGTTCTAACTATATAATTGTTTTCCATATTGTTCTGTTTTTCTAGGAATTACTTTTTAAAACTTAGGGTCATCTTCTCACTTATAATTACACTTTGCACATTTTTGTTTTCTGCTTATGTTTCCCAGAATACAACGTACAATGGCATTCAACAACTCCACAGTGAACAGAGGTAAAAACTACTGCTCTGAAGTCTTTAAGTTGCTGCTTGACTTGGAAACCTTTGAAATCTACTCATACATTTTGATCTTCATCCTCAGTATCATAGGAAACTTCCTCCTCTTATATGTCCTCTTTCTCTATGAGAACTTAAAAAATGTCACATATCTATTTGTCCTTTACCTTGCCTGCTCTGATTTGATGATCACAGTCACACTTCCATTCTGGGCCTTCTCTCTGCTGCTGCAGGAGTGGGTCTTTGGTAATTTTGCGTGCACATTTGTGGCTGTGACAGAGATTGTTGGTTTGAACAGTAGCATCATTCTACTGACTGCCATGACTGTGGACCGTTTCATAACTGTGGTGCTGCACAACATGCCAAGAAACAAAGTAAGGAGGCAGAGGTTTGCAGCATTGAGCTGTGCAGCTGCATGGATCATCAGCATTTCTGTTTCAGAGGCTCTTGACGGTGAAGCGGGCACAGTGTCCGCACGAACCGGGGGCGTCGATAGCTTTCCGGGCATGTTCCAGCCCAAGGCAGGACGAGCAGACCTGGTGTGAGTCCGTGCTCGATATTTTATACCCGCAGCCGCAAAGTCGAGCCTCAGAGCCTCCGTCTCCTCTGGTGTGAGGGAGAGAAGGGTCCATCCTCGATAGCCGGAGTGCCGACTTGGAGGGACAGAACAATAACTGGTATGTTACTGTTCAATAATCAAAAACCTTACCGTTAAAAAATGGAATCGAGGCGGAACCGGAGCGAGGGCCGGAGCAGGAGCCCGCCGGAGCAGGAGCCCGCCGGAGCAGGAGTCCGCCGGATTCTATCAGTCTGTCCCGGCAGGGGCCGGTACTGACCCGGTACCTCAGGACGGACCGCGAAGGCAGAGGGCGCTCTCGGAGCTCTAACCCGACGCCTCTCTCGCGCCTTACCACCGCCGGGCGCACTCCCCCTTGCGGAGGGACCTGAGGGTGAGCCAGCGGCAACATGCGGCTGAGCTGTGCCCTTTCTCCCTCCAGGCGGTTGAAGCGCTGGGTGACCGAGGCTATCGATCCAAAGAGCCCTTCCGTGGCAACGGGGGCCCCAAGGAGATCATCCCGGTCCTTTCTGGTCAGTGCGGTCAAACCTAACCACACGTGACGCGACGCCACGGTGGTCAGGGCCATCACCCACGCAGCGGTCCGAATAATCACTCCCGTCCTCAGACGGGGGGGCGGGAGTGTCCTGCTGAGGGAAATCAGCGACACTTCCAACACATTGGCCGACTTATCCAGATATTCAAGCATTTCGCGGTCACGCGACAGCGGGGGCAGGGGCCTTCTCCCCTCTGCCCACCCAGCTGTCTGCGGAAGCAGATGGGCCGCTAGGCTATCCTCCAGTGGTGGCACACCGGGACACTCCGTGTCCGAGTGGCCCTCCACTCTGAGGATTCCCACCCAAGTAGCCACCGGAGCCTTCGTTCTCAGTGGCTGCCGCCACGTGGCCTCCCCTGCCAGATGTTTGGCAGGGGGGGGTGAAACGAAGGCCGGCTGTGCTGGACGGCCCGGGCCGCAAAAACCTTGACTCAGACGGCTCTCCGGCCTCGGAGGTACTGGTGGGGGGAGCGGCAAGCCTGCACGCTCCGCTACCATAGCCATTACCGCCGAGAAGTCCTGACGTGCAGACCTGTTCTGCTGATGGCCTTCCTGGCGGTCACCGGAGATCCCGGACGACGAGGTGTCTTCATCATCGTCCCTCTCTCCGACGCCCGGACCCGTCCGGGCTGCTGGGATGGCGAAGACGAAGGGCACTCCCTGCTCGAGGTCCTCAATCTCCACCACGTCGAGCTCTGGGTCCTCCACCGGCGAGACGTAGCACCCCTCGAACAGCACCAACCTCTGAAGGCGGCTGGAGCGAGGCAATAATCGACAGGCGCTGCAGACTGCTGATGGAGGCAGGTTAGCCGTCGCGTGGTCGGACCCCAGACACTCGATACACCGGGTATGGGGGTCGTCACCCTCGATGGAGCCCGGACACGAAGGACAAGGGCGCTCCACAGGTGAGTCCATTGTTCGTTTTCTTGAAAAAGCTTTTTTTCTTCTCTTTGTCCGTCTCTCTTCACTCACTTACTTATGCTGCTTCGCTGAAGAGAAAGGGATGGCAGTGAGGAGGCGAGGCCGCATTCAGGTAGGCCCGCCCAGGGGCCGGCTACGTCTAGGAAAGTCTCAGTGAAGGAATGCGTGCACGGATAGGATACATGGGAGTACCCATAGAATCCAGTAGAGGGCGGAGCCTGTGAGAGATATAACTCACAAAGTGTCAGAAAACAAAACCCTCTCTCTTTTCCTCCGTACCCAAATCTCTAAAGACGGGGGTACAACGGAGCTGATCCAGATTTGCTGGCAACATGACGTAATATCGGAAATGTGGGCTGGCTTTACACCCACGGCCCTATCAGAAACGTCGCTATCAGAAACAATGCGCGACGTGTTTTGGAAGTAATATGGTCTTTGTTTACATTAGCAAGCATCGCTCACACTCGGAGCTAACCTGTACTGGAGAGAGTAAGGCCCAATCCCAAACCGCCCCCTACACCCTACCCCTACACACTACCCCTCCGTTTGCGCGTTCGCGTGGAGGGTCCGCCACATTAAGTGCTGTTCCAAACCAACGAGTGTGGAGCGGTGTGGAGGGGGAGTGGGCTGTCAAGCCCTCAAACAGCGAGTCTGCATCGGTGCTGACTTGAGACCGGTCTCTCCCTGTTTACAAGTAGTTCCAGCAAACATCCACTGATAAATTGCGATGTTAACAACCTCATGATAACCTCATATTTTTTTAACTTAGGATCATACCTGTGTTTAGTCTAGAAAAAGGTAAATGTGTGCATTTTATTATAAAGTTGTGTATATTTACAGACTGTTGCAAAAACTAAGAAGCTTATAAACATCAGGTTTAAAACTAAAAGAGCTTTACAAAAAAGTAACACAATGAAAGATGTTTGGAGTTTTATTTGAGTTATTAATTTACATTTTTTGTCTAAGAGATGCTGATTTGAAACCGTTGTTACATACAGTTACGGCATTTCCTGTTTCTGCCGGAGAGAGGGGAGTTTGTCCCAAAGCTTGCCGCTGTATTTACTCCCTCCATCTGACAGGAGGGAGCCTCGTTGAGCTGCGAGTGTGGCTACAGACGGAGTTCACTCCGCCACGGAGGGGTAGGGTCGAGGGAGTGGTTTGGGATTGAGCCTAAGTGTAAAAAATCAGGATATAAAAAGGTACTCACCTTGTGGTAAACCAGCAAGAGAAAAAGCATTTGAGCTCCATACTGTTTCAGAAATAATCCTTAATGTGGTTTTGAACATGATATGGCGTTTAATCACGGCAGCATTTAGTTGTATCTGGGTAGAATTCTCCTGATCAGATACTCAGCATAAGCTCCCCCTCCCCTTTTTTTATTTTATTTTTTATAAAGCTTTAGACCCAGAATCAGCACTTCTAACAGGGCTGAAATAGAGGGATACGAGGGATGTCTAAAATGCATGA